AAAAACTAGGCCACCGGAGTGGCCCGGGTTCGTGAACAATTTCGATGTGACCCTGAGGCAAAAATTGTTCAGTTTATTTTTCTGCATATATCGTTTTTTTCGGATTTTTTGGAAATGTTTTTTTTTTTTTTTTTCTCTGGGACCTTCCTGGTCCTTGCACGGGCTGGCCACCCAGAACCCGGGCGGCCCGGCTGGTAGCCTAGAAAAAAACAAAAAAAAAAGGGCAGCTTGTTGGTGTCGCACGAACGCCCGTGGGAAGCGCGATCAACATGGAACATTCTCCAACACCGGGCCTCTCTCCACTACTCTGCACTTGTGCAAAACAACAGTGAATCTTCTACTAGAACATGGAAAGATACACCACCGTGATTTATGTCTTTTGTGCATTTCGGGAGTTATGTAGTGGACCGAGGCCCGTACAGACAGTCAAAGGAGCAGAGAAACGAGCGGTTTGCATGACAGGCAATCCTTTCATTCACACAAGAGAATGTGATCATCGAGGGAAGAAAGAAAACAATGTTGCACCTAGCGCCTAGCGCTAACCTGCGCTGCGGACCAGCCGGCGAGGCCCGGCTGCACTCCGGAGACAGGGGCAGTGGCATCGTTCGCCATAGCCGCTCCTGGTTATCCTACTGCCCGTCTGATTGTTTTGACCAGACGACGGTTCACTTTCCACCTGGCATATCGGGAGACAGCACATGGGTGTGTGGCATTTTTTTTATTCTGCATTGATCTGACGGTGCGTTCTACAAACGGGGGAGATGGCTTCAATAACTAAATTACAATAGGGTGTGGATGAGTGGCTGTCGACCATTCAGAAGGGTTGCGCTTGCTTGCGAAGTATCGTGGACGCTCTGTCTGCAAGGGGAAGGGATTGGCATGAGGTCGAAGGGGAGGTGGCTGTGCTGATTCCATGGAGGGAGGACACGATGCAAAGTATGTTGGAAGTCATCTGGGAATTGGAGGTGGGTCCGGCTCCTCAACTGGATGAATTCATAAACTGGCAGCAAGCGGAGCGTCTGATGCAGCGTTGCTATGACATCTTCAAGGAAAGGTGGGATCTGTGCGAGGCTTGGGAGGCGAGAGCGCTGATGCAATTTAACGAGTGCGATCAGACGCACAACTCGGGGGATCGACAACCGCCAGTTGAAGAAGGCCATACGACAGAGGCGCAGGCAGCAACAACAATAACAACAATACCTACAACAACAACAGCAGTATCATCAACAACTACAAAATTAACATCAAAACGATGACAGCCACAGCTATAATGACGAGAACGGCTGCACTATCGCCTATGACAAACGGTCTCATCATCACAACACCAACAGTGGTGCTGGTAGTGGCAACGGCAGCAGAGGCGACAACAAGAACAACAAGAAGAAGAACAACAACAACAAAAATGACAACAACATCAATAACAACAACAACTACAACAACGACAGCAGCACCCATGCTGGTGGTTGTGGCAACAACTTGCTTATAACAGGATAAAACAAGGGGTCTGAAGCCAACAACAACAATGACAACATCAGCACGTCAATGGGATAGGTTAGGGATTTCACGAGGATGGTGGGTAGAGGTTTGAGATTGAATGTGTGTTTTGCTTTCCCCCCCGTCTCTCGCCATTCATCCTTTGCAGCTCTCGGTTCGGCACCGGGTGCGAGTGGGTTAGACTACATCCATGTCAATCATCAGGGATTGCTCGGCCGTCGATCCATGATAAAAAGGTGGTGTAGATCATTCCCCAGGTGAAAGGTCGGTCAGTTCGGGTTTCATGTGTTGAGTTGGGCGAATTTCGGGATGTTTTCCCGGATGCTGGATGAAAACGCTTTTCATTAGGGTTCCCGTTACATGGGCAGGAGATCAATCCCCTTCAGTCCTTGTGGGAAGTAATCACTGCCTCCTGCATATACAGACACACAATACCTCCTCACATATCATATCATTGTCAAGGGACGCTGGACCCGATTTCCAGCACAGCAGGTGCAGCTCCCCACCAATAGATGGAGCCTTCAAACGCTGGGATTCGCTTAACGGGGCTGCTCTTATCACCTCGTTAAGTGGGCTTCCCCGAGTACGAAATTTTTCCCAAAAAAAAAGAAAGAAAAAAAGGGAATGGAAGTTCCACGAGGGGGAAAAAGGACGAAAAGAACAACAACAAAAAGAAAAAAGTGAAAAAACATAACGGGAGAACTCTCTTTCCATCGCCCCAGAATAAATAGAGGCGAAAACCCATTCCACACCTTTCCCATTGCTTATGATCGATCGGTTACACAGCTGTTATATCGTATTCCCATATTAGCTTCCCGTTCCGTGACATTGTCCACCGCAACGGCTCAACAACTCCAGCTCGTACAGATCCCAACTGCAACCGCTCAACAATCCCAATTCGTACAGTTGCAACTCGTACAGATCCCAACTGCAACGCCTCAACAATCCCAACTCGTACAGATCCCAACGGCTCAACAACCCCACTTCGTACAGATCCAACTCGTACAGATCCCAACGGCTCAACAATCCCGACTCGTACAATTCCAACTCCAACGGCTCAAGAATTCCAACTCGTACAGATCGCAACAGCAACGCTCCCTTCTTCCGTCGAGCACAGATCCCCGCTGTGGCTACTACTGTGCTCTTGCTTGCCGTGGACAGAATACTTCGTCAGTCCAACAAGGACGAACCGACACTTGACGGAATTTTACTGCTCTACTACTCTTGCGGATGATCCCGCCCAACCTACAAATCTGATGCCGTAGTCTAGCCTGTTCTAACAGCTCAATTCCTCCCTCCCTCCCAATTCCCGTCTTTTTTTTTCCATTTCTCTAAGAGTTACAAACAAATAGGTTGGAAAAGTTACGTATTATTATGCTACAGGTACTCATGCAAAATGGGCAAAAGATCCAGACGAAAGAGGTCGGTCTCATGAGAGATCCCCAGCTCCAATCGCCAGAATCCCACCCAGCCAACACAACTCCCTCAGCCACTTCCACAGAATTCTACGTTCCACGCCCAATACTGCTACAACACAGCCTGTCCTGCAGTGCATGGGATCGAACCTCTCTCCCCACCCCACAGAAGACACTCGTGCCCGAATGATGGCTATAGCTAACTCGTGGCTGGCTGGCTGGCTGGCTGGCTTGTCTTTCTCACACCTCTATCGCCAGCAAACAAACAAAATGCACATTCAAGTGCATAACTGGACCCCGAAAATTGACCTGTTTGGTTGCTATGACTATTACTTTTACAGTTCAGGGACTATTACTACTACAGTTCAGGGCTACAATAATTAATTATGGCTTATGATGATACACCCGCTGGCACAGATTGCACTACTGGCTCAACAATATAGACGCCCATGCGGCGGCTTGCAACGTCCTCACCCCGCTCAGACGCCAGAGCAGGATCCTGCTCCTTCTGAACTTCGCCGTCCCAGTCGGTTCCCATCCCATCCCCGTCTTCTTACAAAAACCGAACAAAAAAGAAAAATATAGAGGGCTAGAAGTCGGAGGTAAGGAGAGGGGTGGAATTTCTTACAAGCAGAACTCTGCCAAGAAAACGCGCCACGAAAACTGCCGTCGACTTTCGTACGTTCTAACTAGGATAGCTCATAGACATATACGTCTCTAGTCCAACCTCCGCTACTACCTCCCATCGCCAGATACCTCTTTCCACCGGACGGCAACTCTCAATGTCCATGTTAATCATTCGCGGGCTCGTACTGACACAACCATCTTTTTTTGCATGCTCACAAACGCCGCACAACCATCTTCTTTTGCATGCTCACAATCGACGGCCGGCTCGCACCAAGCCAATATCACCACGCGGTAGTTGTAGCAGACTAGCAGTGGATTGTCGTTCTATACTCAGTCAAATCCAAGCGTAGCGACGGTTCCTGCCCGTCCGAAAAAAAGACATTTTCGGAGAGGAAGAAGCAAAGTTCACAAGCGCGTCCGTCTTTAACATCACGATCGGGTAGACGATTCCACCTCAGCCATGATAGTAGTGAGCGACTCCTCGGCGAGATGTTGCCTTGTCCCTCGTGTCTATCCCCAGACGTCGTCTGACAAACATAGTGAGCGACAACGTCGTCTGACAAACATAGTCACNCGGCGAGATGTTGCCTTGTCCCTCGTGTCTATCCCCAGACGTCGTCTGACAAACATAGTGAGCGACAACGTCGTCTGACAAACATAGTCACTGTGAGCGACCGGGTTGTAAAGTCAGCAATACGTACGACATCGATGGCGGAGAATCTGACTCGCACTGATCCCTCACACACATCCTAACGATCGAATGCGTCGAGCTCCTCTTCCTCACACCCTCCCTCTAGTACCCCATCGTCAATCTTTACCGTTACATCAACTTCGTTGCTGGCTGGCATCAGCTTCCAAATCTTGCTCGCGACGCTATCAATACCCGGACATCCCAGCTCGGTATGCCGACGAAAAAAAAATGAAGGGCAGCAAGCACCCAGACAAAGGTACAGGAAAAGTACCAAAAAAAAAACTACGTGGACCCAAAAAAAGAGAAATAAAAATCTCCCGCATTATTCCTGACCAAAGAACGACCAATCCAATCGATCCATCCATCAATCCATCAATCCATCCATCAATCCAGCGATCGATCGAAGAACTGGACATGCTGGAAGAACCGGATCGATCAATGACATACATTACGCAGCGAACCGTTGACACTCGGCAGCAGCCACTCCAGTCCGTCAGAGATTACAAACAAAGCAACGGACCGGCGAAAACTCTCCTCAATCCGGCGAGCTGCCACCTGCCCTGCCTTCATCGACAACCTCAATTGTTTGCACGTTTGCTCGCCGCAACCACGCTATCTCAGGTCCTCTGCACACAGACATCTTCGCTGCCCTTCGCTCGTCTCTTCTAACATACACGGGCTGTCTGTCCTCCGCAGATCTGCAAATAATCTACTACTAGGCTATTGTACATGGATGCAAATCCATCATCAGTCCGCACTGTCCAAGTGGGGAAGAGAGAGAGAGACCGTGGCGGCGACTTCGCACACTTCAGCGCGAGACAGTATACATATTATTTCGCTTCAAGGCTCATCACGAACATCCTCCTCCCGCGCCAGTCTCCTTTGTTCATTCCGCTGAACGCTCCCCACTCATGCCGCCATCTCTCTCTCTCTCTCTTTCTCTCTCTCTCTCTCTCTCTCTCTCTCTCTCTCTCTCTCTCTCTCTCTCTCTCTCTCTCTCTCTCTCTCTCTCTCTCTCTCTCTCTCTCTCTCTCTCTCTCTCGTGTGCACTGCTTAGGTCCTTACACGCTGGATACATGATGTGCGAGGTGATCTTGTCTCTCCCACAGAGACCTAACGGAGGCGCATAACAGTAGTCTATAAATAGTTCGGCCGCTGTATGGGAGTTGACAGGCGCCTCCAATTCTGGTCTGTGACTGATCTTCTTTCTCTCTACATCACAGCCCGCCGATGCTGTGGAGACATCTGTTTGACCATCCCGTGATATTGAATGGTGCTTCTCACGTTCTCCTAGAATCCTCGGCCCCACATTGGCTGGGAACCAGTCCAGACGCTGTTCAAAACCTCGGCAAGACAATTGAAGATCCTGCCCGCCTCACTGAGCGTACTGTATACTCAAAGGAGGCAGCAGCGCGCGCACGCGAACAGCGAACACAGATACGCCTCGCCGCACTCGCGCCGCTCACGCGGGTCGCAAAGGACCTCTCAGTTGTAAGAACAGGTGACCGACGAACCGAAGTTCAGACTCTTGATGCAGTCCTTGGCCTCGAAAGTGCATATCCCGCCGACAGATACGCGCAGCGACAGCGGCGCTTCAATAGGCTTTCCCGTCCTGACGAAGGTATTTCCCCAGTCCCTGCGGCATTGCTCGTACGCGCCGTTGGCGCCCTTGATCTCCAACTGGGCGACGGTTCCAGCGCCTGGAAGTCTCATCAGGTTCAGAGCGAGGTAGCCGTACTGATTTCCCTCGACGGAGACCGTGATGCTGGGGGCCTGGACGCAGGGAACGCGACGGTACTCCAGATCGATCACGCCTACAGACCTAGCGGCAATCTTGGGAAACACGTTCTCCCCAAGGTCCAGATGATGCTGCACACCAAAGAAAATGTCCAAGGGAAAAACCAAACAACAAACGGCCGGAATAATCATTAGACGAGAATCAAAAAAAAAAAAAAAAAAAAAAAAATCTTCCTAAACTTCTGCAAGGAGAAGAAAAGCTCTCACACCCGCCTTCCCCCGCGCAAATCGCAGCCTCGTTATGGTGGACAACATCAGGATATAATCACACTCGCACTTTCCAAAACGCACCTGACTGCAATTACAACCAGACGTGCACGAACCTAACCGCAATTACGTCCATAGCGTTTAGGAAAAAGTCCTACTGCGAGCATGCACTCAAGTCTTTCCGTCGTACATAGGGGCCATAGGGCCTCTCTCCAATGCGCAACATTCGGCATGTATACGGATTAGTATCTGCCCAGATACACTTACAGTTGCCTGCGGACGACAATGCTTATGCACCAGCAGACGCGCGCGCATTCATATTCGTCCTGAGACCGGCTGAGCTGTTTTCGAAAGCCCTCGCTCCACTGCACAACACTCTAAATGCATTCGAAAGCTTTCTCGACACGATACATTCAAAATGGACTCGTCCGAATGCATCTGGTCCAGAAACTGTCCAATTGCATGTAGAGTGTTGTGTAGTGCAGCGAGGCGCTCTGTATCGCCTTGGGCACTGGGCCATAATATAAGCTGATTGTTTCAACAACAAAAAAAAGGTCAGGAAAAACCTGTACATTACGCTGATAGGTGCGTCAAGATGTTGATGCTTGCATATATACATAGGTCACGCATAGATGCGTAGAGATTATGGCCCTCGCAACACGGCACATGAAACGCACAAAAAAGAGGAATGCATCTTCCCACACAAACAAGAAAGATTCACCCGTTACTACGAACCGCAGTCAGTGCATGCCGCTTGCACTCTTTTTTTCTTTCCTTTCCCCCCTGTGACCTGTGGGGAGCTACCGACAGTAGGTAATTGACTCTTGAAACCGCCAAAGATGAAATGTGTCCTAGCCCCGCCAAAGATGAAATGTTTCCCTGAGAATGAAATGTTTCCTAGCCCCGGTAAGGAGGGTCGAACTTGATAGCTGGGAAAGCTACTCGTGGTTTAACAATAGTGCGCAAATGAATGCTACAATTAAACCACCAGTACGTTTCCCATATGCCGGCCGCAGGCCCCGCACGGCAAGCTTTGCGGGCACATCTGGCCGTCCCCGCCAGCCGAATTCGGCCTCCGGCATTACCGGGCGCGTCTCTGCAAAATGGCTGGGAAAGGTACTGGTGGTTTAACAACAATGTTCAAGTGAATGCAACTGGACGGTTCGCAGTTTTTTTTTTTTTTTTTTTTCTAAATTATTCTGTCAACGTCTGTTTTTGCCTTTCACTACCTACTCCTAAGGCTATCTAGACGGGTTCGCAGTTTTCAAAACCCAAGGATGACACGGCTCAATCCAGAAATAGTCCAAAAAAAAAAAGAAGCCGCGAGTACCTTGAAGTCACACCCAACGTTCAGGATAGGCAACTTTAGCAGTTCCCTAAATGGAGCAAAAAAGGCGACCACCGCTAGCCTTGCACCACTAGACTAACGACTTTAGCAGTTCCCTAAACCCCGAATAAAACCCACTTTTTACTTACGGTAAGTAATGTGGGATCAGACCCTAAATCTGCAAAGCGCCACTCTGGGTAATGATTGTAATGTGGGATCAGACCCTAAATCTGCGAAGCGCCACTCTGGGTAATGATTGGCACAGTTTTAGGCAGGGACCCCACAGGCTGTTGTTTCCACCACCAGCATCCGCCAAGCAATTTCGCGGACTCCACTGCTGGCGGCAAAAGCAAGCACTTTTGTCTCCTCTGCTCGTGGCAAAAGCAAGCACTTTTGTTTCCACTGCTGGCGTCAAAAGCACGCACTTTTGTTTCCACTCTGCCTACCTCTCCGCTTTTCAGAACACCGACCAGTCCCCGGGCCACTTTTCTTCACGGGATGGCTGCAGCCTCAAGAGATTTGGCAAAGTACCAGCCATCCAACGCGGAAAGGAGGCAAGGGGGTTGGTTGGTGTGTTGAAAAAGCAGAGGCAAACTTGCCCAATAAGGCAAGTCTTCCTAATTGGGTACTAACAGAAACCTGGGGAAGTGCCAAAAATTCCTGTGGTGGTGGAGTCCCTTTTCGACTGCCACATT